AAATACTTCGGCGGATGGCATTTTTTTTAAAGATTTTTTTAAAAAGATTTTTGCATCCTCCGGCCCTCCCGGAGTACCTGAGTGAACTTCTGGAGAGGGTTCAAAAGAAAGCGTTGAGGATAATCTTCCCGGGCTTGTCTTACCAAGAGGTAATACAGCTGGCGAACGTTGAGACACTGAGAGTGAGAAGGGACGAATCGTGTCSATCCTTTGCCAAGGAATCAGGGTGCATATCTGGACTTTTTAAGAAACATATCACACAGGACCTGAAATACAATCTCAGGTCTGGCCAGCAAGCACAAAGGCAGGCCTTAGGCCGAACTGAAAGGTTTAATGAATTCATCACGGTCAAATATCAATAGACTATCAATAGATTATYAATATATCACGAACCATGCTGTATTATTTATATATTTATATTATTTATGTTTTGAGTTGTAATGCTGGCTGACCCGCAATTCAACCTATAAATGCTGCAATGGGTTTAATTAAGCARTTATTGATTGATTTTGATTGGGGGGACCCTGCTCCGCGGTCCCTTTAAAACTATAACCAACGATGAGGATTCCAATCTCAAACTAGTCTCCTCTCGCAGCCGTTAGGACGTTCGTTCCCAGGTTTCCCCCCTAGGCTGCGAGAGGAGACTAATGTCAAACTCGCCTTTAATTGTCCGGTCCAWAAATATTATCACCATTTTAAAAACAAGTTTAATCAATCAATAAAGTCCTTCAAGTCTGTAATCTTGTTGATTCTCTGTATTTTTTAATAAATCTCTCTCAATCGAGTTCTGCTGATATGGTCTTGGTTTCAGTGAAGTCTCTCACTTCTTGGCAAAAAAAATTCACACAGATTGTTGTTTTTCCCCATATTTTTGCAGTATTTTCAATATAGCATCATCATTTTCTTGTGGTCGAAATGTCAAAGCGAGAAGTCATCCTGTTATGCACTAGTCAATTGAAACCCCGCCCCCCGGGGCTAGCGGGGCACTGAACGGGGACGTGACATTAGATACCGACATTATCGGAAATAATGACTACTTTAAAACAATGAGAGTGTGTATTAAAAGTTYCACTAAGTGGTTCTTGTYGTTAATATATCCTTGCTAAATATGAGTGTTTTAGCGCCATTTATAGCGGAGATACAAGCGATTTTATGGTCGGATGACCACATGCAAATACTGCCAATTTAACCAATAAATAACTGATTTGTTTCCTTTTTTGATGTTGATCAATTTTCTTCCATATACAACTTAATAAAGGATTAAGTTAAAATTGAGTCTTGTTACTGTAATTGCACAGAATAAATATGAGAATAAAAAAAATGGCATCTGAATGATTTAAAAATCATTCAGATGGCATTTTTTTCATTTTGAACTATTTAAAAAGTTATATTTTTACGATTCTTGAATTGCTTGTTGTTGATGTTTTATTTTTATTTTTCTAGTTGTTGTTTTTCTTTTTCTTTYCTCTTATTGTTTCGAGAAGCAAGAAAAGTCAGCAGCGTATTTCTGAGTYCGTCACATAAGAAAGGTGATCTTTCTAAAGGCTAATTTACACGGCACGATTGTCTCGTGCGATTTGTAGTATACGACTTGAATCGCGCAGTGTAAATGCCCCTACGACTTGTCTACAACAGTCGTACGCAACCTTCGACTTGTAGTAGGTTTTTGAACCACTGCTTAAAATCCTACGACTTGTAGTAGGAAAATCGTATACTACAAGTCGCGCGCGACAAATCGTACCGTGTATCCTCACCTCGACTTCTTACCTCGACCCTCGACCTCGACTTTTAGGTAAACATTCAGCTACAAATAAAGACGTTGGTCGGATAAATTCCGTTTAATGAATAAGCTGGTATTCATGTTTTTAGATTGGATATTTAAGGACGTTCGAGGGCATTGCTACTGCGCACGCCTTAGGCGYACGCCAAAACCGGAAGTTGTCACAAAATTTGCATCAAGCAAAACAAAGATGGCGACCGCTCTTGTTRTGTGTTTGTGTGGTTTTGTACGTACTTTTCTGAACTTCTACTTGTATGCAAAATGTCTTCACGTTCAAAAAATGGGAGATTTACTACTGCTAAAGAATTGATGAGGCGAAAAAGTGTTCAAAATGCTCTAAAAAGTCGTAGATTGGCAGAAAAAAGTCTCTCGCAATTCAAGATGGCCTGCAAAATCTTAGATTTCGATACGAAATATCTCCACAACGAACCCGGTAGCCCCAATTTCTATTTATCTTAAAAGAAGGCTACTTGGAAAAAATATAACATATGTGAAAAAATGTGAAAATGTGAAAATGTGAAAAAATAACATATGCGGAAAAAACGACATATTCAGAGGTTTCTGAAATATAGCCTTTTTAGCTGGAAATGACACCTCTTGTTGACGTCGAGTGTGGCGGCTTGACACCGACAAAAATCCTAAAGGAATCAAAAATCACATCATGTAATGTTTCAAAGTCTCGTAAACAATATTAACAATTATCGACCTCAGCTTTTGTGGAAAAAWTTGGATYAATTGATATGTGTTTTATATTTTTTGGGAACTTTTTTGACAGACGGCATCGAACACTTTTCGCGCGCTTTCCTTTGACAATTTTGGTGATTTTGTGCAATCGCGTATTTCCCAAAAAAATTTCATCGAAGTGACATCACGGAGTGCATTGCCCACGAGCGTCCTTAACTGGTAGCTTTTTTATCGTGCACTTGTAGGTAACGAATTTATAAACTAATATAATTAAAGTCGCTCAAGGAGCGCATGTGGTTACTCCTAATACGTTTAGATTTAGCGTTTTTCTTGACCAGCGTCATTTCGTAGTTGTCATGGCATCGTCTTACGTCATGTCAGATCGTTCTTTTTGGTCAGCGTCATCGTTCATAACAAGTAAGAAGCTAATGCGCATATGCGTACGATTTTTCGACGTATGAAATTGAAGCGAAGCATTGATGAAAGCCCACATTGATGGAAATACAAAAAAATCGTCATATATAACAGACGGCTTCTCATAACAGATAAACATAGACATGACGGGGTAAGGTATAATTTTATAGGCGGCAAATCTGGGGTCAGATTCGAAGGGTGGGACACAATGCAGAATGTTCATCCCCAGGAGGGGGGTATAGTGGCATGAAAGTCTCAAGTCNGTAAAAAGCGTGCGCATTCATTCTTTTCTTTCTCTCAAGCAATAGTTGGGTAGCCTATGATGGGTTTACCATTTTTCCTTAGTTATGGTGCTCCGCTCGCGCGGGCCTTCGGCCCGCGCGGGAGCTCCGCTATAAAGAGACTCATTATGAACAATCGTAGAACTGAAAGAACTCTCGATTCTCAAGTAGCGCAAATCGACAAATTCTTGTACTTCACTAAATTCCTCAAATTTTAGCTTAAATGTAAGTTTCTATTGACSCGTTATTTTACAATAATAAAGATGTATTTAAGTTTATTACGTTTTTGATGTTTTACTTCGAATTTCAAGTTGCTTTGTTTATCTAAGTTTATACCGAAGATTCTATGCACTCAAAATAGTTAAAACCTACAAGGAATAGTAACAATTTATGCAGAATTGTTTCCTACTTTTCGGAAACATTTTTATATAATAGCTGGTTTTTTTCCTATTCTACTTCTGATTTTGAAAAATGGTGACGTCAAAACCATGTTTACATACTCTCATGCAAACACCGTAGTCGGCCAAATCAGAGCGCGCGTAGTATCCAAAGTAATTTTATAAATGTGTTTATTTTAACTTCCCAAAACACACTGACCCAAATAACTTCTTTTTTATTTTTTTCATTTTTTAGAGGAAAACAAGACGCGAAAAACGTCTGAAAACTGTCCAATGAAAGGTGCTTTTGCCTGCCATTTTGTTGAAAATTTGATGCGGACGGTCTTGCCTATCAAAAAAATGACGTCATAAAACTATGACGTAATAGTATATCAACGTCACAATCCATTCACTTGTCATGAATTAGCGTGTAAAACTCGCGCGCCATGCTCGAATGAAACAAAATGCAGGTTCACCCTGCAGGTGTTGAGGAGGCTGAACCAAAACGCGAGGAATGGGCTCACAAAGCTGATTTTTTATTGTCTTGCATTGGATACGCCGTAGGACTGGGAAATATCTGGAGATTTCCTTATCTTTGCTACCGTAATGGCGGAGGTAGGTCATAATGGTCTTCATATATCATTTGTCCTTTCTTTGATGGATGATGATCTTTGAGGCATTTACGCATGACAGATCAAATACTGACTTTGTAACAAACATTCTTAAGAGAGATGCTGTAAATACGTTTTGTCCAAAATGTTTTAACTTTAAAGTTGTTTGTTCTATTTATTTTTCAGTGTTATCCTATTTGCGCACGAGATTGAATCTTGAGCAATATCAAAAGTCATGAATTGTTATGAGTATATGAATGGAATTTTTCCGTTTCAGCTTCTTTTTTAATACCATATATAATAATGTTATTATTGTGCGGTATTCCATTGTTTTATATGGAGCTTGCTCTTGGGCAGTACTTTACGCGTGGGGCGCTTCAGCTGTGGAAGAAAATATGTCCAATTAGTAAAGGTATGACTTTTCGACAACATTGAACGACTCCTCAGGATGACATTATTAGCACGTCAAGCGTCGCAGTGATTACATCTTAATAAGAACATAATGAACATATTTGCTACCTTTGTCAGGTATTGGTATAGCAATGTTGGTAATCTCCTCGCTGATTTCTACTTACTACAACATCATTATCGCCTGGAGTTTCCTGTATTTATTCAACAGCATCAAGGGCAATATCCCATTCAACAGCTGCGACAACTCTTGGAATACAATTTTATGTCTGTAAGTATCTCTAATATGAATGCCTCAGTTTTACGGCAATCATTTTAATTTTAAAAATTTTTGGCCGGTATATGATTGGCTGATAGCCAAATACTAAAAGAAATATTACGCTTTACACGACAAAACAGAGTGTAAAATCGATCAGTTTGTTTTGTTTTTCTCCACTCTCGGAATATGACCTAATATTTTAATTAAAGTGTAGCCTGAATCAGAGTGTTCGTTTGTTCGTAGTCCCGGTACTAAACGTCAGGCAGTCGATGTTTTTTTTGAAAAATCGTCGGAACAACCGTAATTTCAACAAATTTCAAAGTTAGGTGGACCACTCTTAATAATAAATATTTATGAAGTGAATAGATAGACATTTATTTTTAAATGCTGTAAAATACTAGTGAAATTTATTTAAAAATAATGTTTACCACTCATTGGCAAAATAGTCAAAAAAAGCAATGAAGTCAGTTTTTTTAAACAAAATTAGAATAACATGCATTTTATGCATTTCACAGYTTATGTAGTGGAAATTGATTATGTATAGTGTTTGGTATTAAGGGACTGGAATCATATAAAAAAAAGCATTATCAAGTGAGAAACTAATTAAACAAAACAAAAATGCATTATTATCATTGCCACATGATTGCAATTTGTCCTATGTAGAGTTCATTGAAAATTTTGAAGTACATTTGACAATTGACAATTTTCTTTTGCATTTTTACTAATTAAAACTAGACGATCATAGATCGCTTACGTGGGCTTCCTGTGACAATGGTGTTTGTAATAAGTCAAGACAGAATTAAGTTAATATGTTATCAATTTATTACATCATAAGTTTTTACCGAACTGAACTCTAAGTAAATTCTTTGGATACCATGTCTTTCTCAGTTTTCCAAAATAACTAGCTCGACTTTACGCTCAAGAGCGTCTATATTATATATATATATTCAAAATATCTGATAGGTCATATAGGTCACATAAACAATAGAAACGGTACAGTCTTGGGAGTATAACTTTGAATAATATTTTGATATTAATCATGTATCTGTATCTTGTGTTTCTGTTCTTTTTTATTTGGTGTTTTTCATTAATTTGTAAATCTGGCGTTCTGTGCCATCATAAAGGTGTACCTTAGCCTTCTAATGACAGTTCATATTTTTGGATTTGTCTAAGTTTTTCAAGTTAAACAATCATCAAAACAAACAATAGAGAATTAAAGTGCTTCATACACAATATAGATTTTGCATACAGAGTTCAGTAAAGCTCACACGTGTAGTTTTCCGAACTTCAAACACATCGTTAGTTTAGAAAATGGCWTCAATATTTTTCAGATGAGGTTTGATATGCTTTCTTCCATCGAATGATTGTTTTCTGTCAAAGTATGAACCTTAAATATCCATGTAATTTCTTATTTTTGAAGATTTTGTCTTTGACATCGAACACTTGTGTGACGAAGAAGCGTGCTCTCCGAGTCGGCGGTAGCAAAATGCCCAGTCATTTCTGCACGAATCATCCGCTAATCTTGAATTATATACCTCAATCCATGTCGTTTGGATGAATCAGTTGATTTTGTAAGATTTTCAGCTCTTTAGAGCATTTTAGCTACATTTTAGAACCATTTGAAACGAGACAACTTTTTGCCGCCGTCTGTCAGCCATTTTGTTTTCATTCTGAGACTGCAGTCCATCTGCAACGCAGGCGCTACCCAACCTCGTCCCCAGGGCCATCTCGGCCGACTCCTTTTCAAGATGGCGGTCGTCGGGAGCAACCTCGTCCCCAGGGCCATCTCGGCCGACTCCTTTTCAAGATGGCGGTCGTCGGGGAGATGACCCTGGCGTTCGCTGAACTAAGCCGCTTTCTGATTGGCTATTCAAAATGCCTTTTYTTATATCACTCATTATTGGCCGTTTATGTTCGTCTATATGTCGGGATGTGTTCGACAGTGTCGGTATAACCGTTAGGCCTTTGATCGGTTATTGATTTATCGTTGCGATACTGTTCATTGTTTTTATTCAAATATATCYGAAGTTTAAGGTACGTTTTGTCGATTAAAAAGCAACACCTCGCRACAATACTCTTTGGAATTCTTGTCAGTTGTCCTCTTATGTCTCTTTTGTCCAATGCGTGGTTTCAAGATGCCAGCGACTCGTGTAAGAAATTTAACTTGACGGATATACAGCTATTTCAAAAAACGTTGTCGGGGAGAACGGCGAACTGCGATTGTCGAAGAGAGATTGCACGACCGAAAGGGACTGTKGTTACACTGTATTGATCAACAGAATTTCACTTATTGGATTCACCTTACATAGAAATGGAKACTAAATGGAGCCAATGTTTACCACACTGGACCATAAAATATAAATCAGTTGTTATTTCATTTCACCAAGCAAAACCCATGACTACTTTCGGTCGTGCAATCGCCGTTCGACCATTGACATTCGCCATTTTATCCGACAACCTTTCTTGAAATAGCTATATTTAGCGATAGCATTCGATGTTTTAGAAGTCTTCTACTCGCCGATTTCTGCAGCCACTGTTCTTCTTTAAAATCGGTCCAGTGTGCGGATCCCTCAAGAATCCTAGAATGAACTGGATCTACTCAAGTAGGCGGTCTAGGGGTATTAAACACTGGCAATGACGGCAGGACAGGGGAGATTTTCAAATGAATTATCAAAACAAAGCAAATACCGACCCCTC